TTCCTTCGTAGTACTTCTGTAATAATTTAGCTTACAATAGTATGATTTGTATAACTATTATAAAGCTCTTTCATATTTTTACTTGCAGTTATTTGTAGTAGTAGTACACATAATAATTATATCAGCGTTTGATAATAAATAGCAAGTGTATTACTATTAATATTAATGTGAAAGCTTTAAAATATGACTATTGTGGCTTACACCCTGCATCCCACACTGCCCCCGGAAAAACGTATCATCTTCCTTTGTATTTGCGCGCGTAATGTGCGACCTTAAGATATTATGTGAGCTTTCCAACAATATACGCTGTGTACATCAAACAAAATGGGAACAGCTATTGTGATTCAGCTAGCGCGGAGGCACATGTCTAAGCAAGGACACGAAACACGAAGGGATACCGACCTACACTATGTACACGATGGGATAGAAGAGCAACACGAAGCACGGAAGGCCATGGACGATGATAGAAAACTTAGCCGATGCAAACCACGAAGTTTTATAAGTAGCGTGAAAGATGAAAGAGCACGCAGCCATGAAAATGACAGATGGACAGAACATGACAGGAACGTACGGGCCACGGAAGGGAACTAAATAGATAGACACCCCAGCATGCTAAAATGTACGGCTACAGAAGCGCACGCACGTTCGAAGCACGTAGCGGTAAGAGTGCCCTGACAGCAACTCTCCCATAGCACCACGGAAGAGCACGGAGCACGGTCGACGGACCAGGCATGAAGCCGCGGGAGACCAAAAACGGGAAATCATCGAGCATTAGAGCACGATATCAAGGTAGAACCGGATCTCACCGAGCCAGGGAGCACGATAATACGGTAGCTAACAATCACACGGACGACAGACCAGCCACGACACCACAAGCTAGCACGATAGCATGGGCTGTTCCATTAAGCCATGGGAGACGCAGCCGCTGAGATATAGACGTAAAATCACAGTGCCGCGGAGAACGATACCAGTGTTTAAGCTAAGCTTACCGATCCACGGAGGACAGTACTACATTAGAGCTAGATTGCACGAACGGCGGGCCAGCCACGAAATAAACGGGGGTGCTAGGGGTGATTACGACAGCACACTGTGGAGCACGTTGCCATTGTAGAACACGATAACATGGACAACGCAGATACACAACGTGAGCACAATACCATGGACAGCATAACCACACCGCATTTGCACGATAGCGTTATACCGCGGTCGATGACACTTCATCAGGAGATCACGATGCACGGGCGACGGAGCCATACGACTGCATGGAGGCACCAAAGCACGGAATAGCACCCTTTGGTTAGAGTACCGGTGATGGGAGGCCAACGGCCACGAATGCCTATGTAAACGAAAGCGGTACAGCCCGCGTAAACGTTTGAGAGCAGAGAATAGCTAGGAGCCACGAAAGAGGCTGTACTAAAGTGCATAAGCTCAAAAGAGAGCGCATATCCACAAACAGCGTGGGCCACGGGTGAACAGAGAGCCACAAAACCAAGTAGAACACGGAAGAGCACAGCCTATTGAAGAACACGACATTCAACCTGTAGTACGGGGTAACGAAAACGTTCCAAACCACGATATTATACGGGGCCGAATGAGACTACGGAAAGGCAAGTGGTTAAATACACGATGTCAAGATCTACGGGGTGAACCACGCTCTCTAAACACGCGACACCAAGAAGCACTTAAATTTGCGGCCACCTCATCTACAACAAACCATGCCACTCCGCCGCGTAGCGGCGGCGAACGGCTAGTCTTACCCCTCTAGTGGAGTGTGTTGTCTGTCCGTCCGTACGTCCGTCCGCGGCTAGGGTTCTAAAATGTAACGCAAATACGCGCGTTCTACTCGCTGCCGAGCGCAGCGAAGGCGGCCTCGATTCGCTAAAATTGCAATATGTGGTGTACACACTGTATGTGGTCTACACATCGTACTTAAAATGCACAGTTCAAATTTCATTTTGCCCCCTTTTTAACGCTGGAGCCACCTCACGCAAAGGGCGCTGCCTGTGCGCGCGTTAGTTAGCATTGGTAGAAGGCGCCAATGCGCACACATGTAGTATATCGTCGTAGGAGCTGTTTGAAAAAATTGTAGGCCTTGGTGACTTATATTTCGGCTTAAATGAAGTCTTTAGTACTTATTGGTTATAATATGATTTGTTTTAGCTTTGTAGCATTTTTTTAATAATTTAACTTTCTAAGATAATTTTGCTTAGTACTATTCTAAAGCCTCATATTAATGCTTGCAGACGTTTGTAGTAGTACTACACAAAATTAATTTAGTAGCGCTTATCAAATTAAATGCACTTTATATCTAATACTAATTACCTTAAAGTATTGTATCATATTTTGCGTTAGATGAAGATGCACAATTTATTATTAATATTAAATATTTAAAATATGAATATAGTGGCTTCCACCGCACATAACCATGTACACTTCTCCGCCACTAAAAAAGAACGTTTTCTTTGAATTAGCGCGTATTTTGCACCCCTAAGAGCATGTGCGCCCTCTCGAACACGAATTA